GCGGCGCGGGTGCGGCGCGGGCATGCGCGCATGCGTGCGCTGGTGGTTGAGCAGGAAGCGCGGCTCGCGGAAGCAGCGGCCGCACTGCGGACACTGGTGCGGCTTCTCGCCGCTGTGGATGCGCTGGTGCGTGAGCAGGTTCTGCTTGAGGCTGAAGCAGCGCCCGCACTCCGGACAGGCGAAGGGCCGCTCGCCGGTGTGGGTGCGCTGGTGCACCTCGAGGTTGTGCTTGACGCTGAAGGCCTTGCCGCACTCGGGGCACACGAAGGCGGCCGCGCGGCCCACCCCAGCGTGCGCCTTCTGGTGCCGCACCAGGCTGGGCTGCTGCGAGAAGGTCTGGCCGCACAGTGGGCAGCGGTGAGGCTGCTCCTCCGCGGGGTGGTGGATGACCAGGCCTCGCTCGTCCCCCAGACCCTCCTCCCCGTCCCCCGCAGGGGACCCGCCCCCCGGGGACGCCAGCTCTGTCATGGGCACTTCCAGCCGCAGTCACCAGCCCCTGGGGAGGCAGAAGCAGAGAGAGGAGTCAGAAGGGGGGGGCATCCAAGGATCAGCCGGCCCCCGACCGCAGGGAGGACGTTGCCCTGGCTCCCCACAGCTTCAGCATCTGCCCCTCTGCAGTCTTGTTCAAGCCAGTGTTTCCCTGCTGGAATGCCCTTCTTTCTCCTCTACCCCTTAATCACCGCCTGCCCCTCCTTAAGGCCTTTCTCAAGGGCTGCCTCCTCCCAAAAGCCTTCCCTGAACCGTCCAGCCCCTCCTGAGCCCTAGGGCCCAATCCTATGACCCTCAGTCATCACATGGCAGGTCAGTCGTGCCACCTCAGTCTCCTGGCCCTGTGCCTGCCTTAAGGACAGAGCTGTCTCCTTCTTCTATTCCCAACACCAAGCACTGTGCCTGCCACACAAAGCGTTGAATAAACGACGATAGGTAATATTCAGGGGCTTCTAGTACTTAAGTTAGCCTGCCCCTGGATAGGTCTTATCTCTCCAACCAGAATCTCAAGGAGGGGGGTGCATCCCAATCTGGAGGGAAGGGTGGGGTCACCTGGTGGTTCACAGATATTTTTGAAAAGCTTAAAAGAAAAAACAAAACAAAACCCTGCACACTTGAAAGCAATCTCAATTAAACATTAAAGCAGCAGCTCTTTATCAGAATGAGGCATGCCTGTAAAAGGTTTGCAAATCCCTGAAACAGAGTGTGAGCTCCCAGGAGCTGGTCTCAGCTTGATTCCTCTTGGCATCCCCAAGATACCAAAGCCTGGCCCAATGCTCCACAAACACCCCCAAGTTCAGCTCCATCCCATTCATGCTGGTTCTGCTGAGGATCCTCTCCCCCAGGGCACTGCGTTCCTCTTAAATTGTTTCCCATTGTCCTCACAGCGACCCGGGGAAGGAGCAGGCCTTACTGAGCCCTGCTTTATAGATGGGGTAACTGAGGTCAGCTTACTTGCCCAAGGTCACACAAGGTGAGCCAGGACTAGGCCCGAAGTTTCCTGACTCACTGGCAAAAGCTCTTCTCAGTGTACCAGCTGCTCATCAACTAAATTCCCCTCAAAATACACACACACACACACACACACACACACACGTACCCACGTACACACACACACATACACACACAAGACCACCACCACTATCCTGACCACCAGAGTTAGAGACACCCAAAGCACCACTGCTCCTGGAGGGCACTGTCTGCTGCCCCCACCTCCTTCCCCCCAAAAAACCTAGGGCTCCTCCTGCTGCAGAGCACTGGGGCCTGCTCCAGAGTCGGCTGAGGGGGCACTCCCCTGCAGTCCTCCATCCCCATCAGGGACCTAGACCTCCATGCAGTGCTTACTACAACCTCAGTCGACCTATCTGCAGAGTGGGATCTCCGAGATACCCCTTTTGTCTCCCCCCTCCCCTCAGGCCAGGGTGGGACACACAGCCACCCTGGAGAAGGGGCAAGTACTACTTGCAATAGACCCCACCCACGAGGCTTTCCCCAGCCAGCTGCACTGACATTTACAAAGACAGACCATCACCGTCCCTTGGCCAATCTCAGCCTGGCCTTGTCTCTGGGCGGCCTCCCCGCTCTCCCCAGCTATATCCCTGACTAAGGCCCCGACTACGGAGAAGGTCTAAAGCAACGGCCCCCTTTTCTCCCCCAAGTTCCTCCATCCCCTCCCGCACTCACAGCCCAGGCTGCGCCCCTGTTCCTCCGGTCTCCAGCAGTGGCTCTTTCCTCTAGAGTCTGCGCTGCCCAGCGCAAATACGGTAACTCTCCCGCAGCGCCTCCCGCGCCCCTTCTCCCTTGCCCCCATAAAGACGGCCAGCCTCCCGCACCGCTGTTTTTATGAAATAGCTTCATGAATCAAAACAGCTGACCCCACCCACCCGACCTCCGCACACAACCGTGCAAACTCCCGCGGCCGGAGCGACCCTGGAGAAATATGGTAAACTCTGCGCCGCAACCTCGCCCCCACGAAAATACGTAGGCCTCGCACCCTGCTGCCGCAACCCACCCCACCCGGCTGCAAGCCCCGGCTCTCTCGGGGTGCGGATGCAACCCACCCCCAGCTTCCGCAGCACCCGCGGGAGGACCGCGCAACCCTGGATAAATACGTAATTAAGTCGCGGCGCTCCCCGCTCCGGGAAAGGGTCTGCGCGGCTCCCGGCAAATACGGTAGCGCGCCCGCAGTGACCCGCCCCCAAGGGTCCGGCACCGGCCTCGATAAATACGGTAATCTCCCGCCGCGGCCCCAGCCCCGGCGGCCCCGGACTCACGTGGCGCCGCCTCCCGAGCCCCTCCGTCTCCGCCGCAGCGCCGCAGTCACCAGCGTCGCCGCAGCCGCACAGCAGCCCCGTGAGGCTGGGAGGTCTAACTCGCCGACGACCTGGCTGGCGGAAAACGGAGGGCTGTGAGCGCTGCGCCCTCCCGGGCAGGCGAGGGAACCGGGCGGGAGCCGGCTCGCGAGCAGAACGCCCCGCCGGGCGGGACACCGCCAAGCTCCCCGGCCCCCGGCCTCAGCCATTCCCGTTTCAGGATCGTCAGAGGCCCCCAGCAGGCAGTCAGAGCCTCTTCCTCACCTCCCTCATCCTAAAGCCGCGCTACCCTGGCCAGGCCCACGGACTGCCCCCAGAAGCAGGGTGTGGGGGCGCAGGCGGCAAGCCTTTCCTTGCGAGAGAGAGCAGCGGGGGAAGGCCGGAGCCCCTGCTGCGGGGCCTCTCTGAGCGGGGTGTCATGGGTGCGAGACAGCCATCGAAGGGGCAGAATCAGAGCTGCCTGAACTAACCGTGTTGCGAAAGCCACCCACCCCCCCACCCCCACCCTCTGGCCCGGTTTATGCCCCCAGGACGGCAGGGGACAGGGAAGAAGTGACACCCCAACTGTCCCCGCCTCCTCCGAACTGGACCCATTCCGGTCAAGCCAAAGATACCCCATAAAAGATATCCCATAAAAGAGCCACCTATAACAGCTATCACACCCCCGTGGACAGGGCTGGGCTGAATTCCAGCTTTCAACTGTCCTTCAATAATAATACCCCTTACCTATACATTACTTGTCTTTTTACAAAGCTTTTTCCCATATATTACCTCGTGGGAGCCTTCCAATAACCGTGTGCCATCTAGGTTGTACAGGTATCATTATCCTATTTTATAGATGGGAAAATAAAATAAAATTGAAACACGGAGCAGCTTCCCCGGAGGCCCGCAGCCCTAAGTGGCCAAAGCCAGATGGGAAGGCAGGCCCACCAGCCGGCTCACTCTCCCCGACACCATTCTGGTACCTAGACCCCCAAACAGAAACAGGGTGCGATGATTGGGACTGGAAATAATCATGTCCAGGGTAAAAAAGTGCCTCAGAATTTACACTTCTTAGATAAAGAAACTGAGGCCAAAAGGGAAAGTGATTTTTTTTTTTTTTAAGTGAAAAGTGCCAGAGGAATATCAAGTAGCCTTTTCCTCTGTGGCCCCTGGTAGCTGCCAGGTGGGCCCAGGCAGAGCTCCTTACAACCGATGGTGGATGTGGCTGCTGGGGCGGCGCCATCCCTGAGGAGGGGCTCTAGGAGACGCAAGCCTCCTGGCCCCATGAGGTGGCTCCCGTCACTCGGCAGGTGTTCAGTGTGCCCTCCTGGGCAGTGTACCATTCCAGGTGGGGCCCAACTGGAAATACACTCAATCTCTTAGTCTCAACACCAGACCTAAAGATCAGCCCTGCCTGCTATCACATCCCGCTCTGTGGACCAGTCCATCCCAGCACTCCCCACCCCATCCATGCTGCTCCCGTAGCAGCGCATCGAGCTAAGTGGGGCTTCCTGAGCTAGACATCTCAAGGAGACTGGCACTTAAAATAGAGGCACCAGGGAGGGAATTCTGGGAAGCCAAAAGAAATGAATCCATCAGGACAGATGTTCCCATGACATTGCCAAAAGGACCCCCTAACCACTGATGGCCAGGGGCTAGAGCTTTGCTCAGAGAACAGCCACACCTCCCACCTGTCCAGCTCCTGTTGCAAAAGTTGTCAGCTGCCAGAGCCACGGGCCTCCATCCCTTCTACAGGCTATAGGAGAAATGGGGACACTTAGGCAATGACCAGGTTTTTCAAAAGCAAAACCAACAATGTACCCGAGGATGTCACCCATATTTTTAGCAGCATTTTCTAAGTAAACTGTGCCAAAGTGGCAAGGCACACAGCTGGGGGACGGGTGTGGGAAGGAGGCGACACCCCCTAAAACCCACCCCGTCTCAGTGGGCGATGCCGAGGGCCCGGGGCTCCCGGAGGCCTTCGTTCTCTGCTCTGCCAATGAATGAGTTCTGCTGAGTCACTTCATCTCTCTGGTTTCGTACACATGCACCCCCCCACACGCACACACACATTCCCCCCCACCCCCGCCACGGTTCTCATGTGCTGTGGTGAACACTACAGAATGGAGATGGGGAGAACTTCTGCAAACGAAGCCATGCTTCTTCATACAGGCGGGGTCCGTGGCGGGCATGGCAGGCTCACCGCCACTCCACAAGGCGTGGCCCCCTTGTGGGCAGAGGTGTGGACAGCTCAGCGGAGCCCTGCCCAGGGCCCTGCACTGCATCCCTCCCACTCGCCGGGGTCGTGCTAGATGACGGACAGTCACCCTGTGTGCCCCCGCCCCCCCGCCAGCCCCAGGCCGCTGCTCCTGCAGATCCCAGCCTGGCCTTCCTCCAACTCCTCCTGCTTTGGGCTGCATCCCCAGGGTTTTCCTGCTCAGCTGGGCCACCACTTCCCCCCTGACTCGCTCCTCCCATCTCCCCGAATTGGACAGCGGTCACTACATATCCCCTTCCAAACATCTTGTGTTGACTTCAAATTGGGATTCAGCACACCTTTGTTTTCCCACCAGGCTGTGAGCTTCAAACGCAGGGGCTGTGTTTTCGGCATCTCTGGATCCCAAGTGCCCCCAGCATCTAATAGCCCCGCAGCCGATCTTCGGTGAATGAAGGAATGCACGTCCGTAAGCCACAGCTGCTAGCCATGGAGGGAAGATGACAAGCAAAGCCACAGCCCCGGCATCGAGGACTGGGAGACACTGCCGACGCCCCGTTGGATATGTGGGGCTGTGGGTGCAAGGTCTCATCTGCTCCAAAGTTCCCTTTCCTTGACATTAAAACCCAAGATGTGACCTAGGGTCAATTCAGCCAAGCTCTTAAACCTGCAGCTGGCCTATTTAATACAGGTGGAGACTTCCTCCTTACGGGATGGAGCTCTGTTTGGGGAAAACCCTGTTCTCCTCTTTCCATAGTAAACTTGCACTTGTATAAATGCTGTGCACATAGCCACACATGGGGCTTGTTAAAATAATGATGGTAACTGCTATTTATTGAGTGTTTGCTGCATCCCAGGCGCTATACCACAAGTTTTATGTGGGTGACCTGCACAGGGTTCCACAGCCTACCCGGTAAGGCCAGAATTTAGCCCCAGAACTATCTGACTCTATCCATGACTCCCAACGACAAGAGAAAGCTCTTTCTAGATCTGAGTGGTGGCAGGGAGAGAGACGACATTTCTACTTCTTAATAGGAGCATTATTCCTAGAGCTATACTGTCCAATAGCCACATGTGGCTTAATTAATTAAAATTAAATTTTAAATTCCATTCCTCAGCCTCACACGCCACATTTTAAGTCCTCAGTAGCCGCATGTGGCTGGTGGCTACGGTATTGGATGGCACAGTTATAGAACATTTTCCTCATTCCAGAAACTTCTACCTGGACAGTGCCTGTCTAGGGCCCCACCCCCTCCAGATCTGAGTAACCTAGGAGACACCACTCCCTTTTTAACCCAAGGGACAACCTATAGGATGGCATTCATTTTCTTCTCTGCCATGATCCAGTAAGAGCAGTGACATGTGAGAACATACTATTTCCGGCCCCAACACTTATCCTCTTGTCAAAAGGTCAAAGATATATATATTTTTTTAACCAAACTACTTAAAGAATAAAAGGAAAAGGTCTCAGAAGCACCCCCCCCCAACTCCTCCCAGGTGCTCTCTGCCAAGTCCCTGCTGGTCCCGCTCTCTCCCTGTCCGTGCACCTGCTCACTGGCCTCCCAGCCTCATCTCCCTCCGGCAGCTCCCCGGGGCCCGGGCTGGGCAAACAGGAAGCCCAAACCTCCTGAGGAAGCTGCCAGCTGGCTGGCCGACTCAAAGCTTAGGTTGCTTGCCAAAAAACCACCATTGTCCCAGTTCCTAGGTCATTTTTATTAGCTCCCAGCCTGCTTCTAACAAAGGAACACAAGGATGACGCAGGCAGTTCCGGGAACCCCAGCTCCACCAAGCTCATCTGGCCCGTTAGAAGCTTGGCTGTGGGTCCCCACCCCAGACCTGCACTTACCTGGAGGTGGACAGGATAGAAGTCCTTTAAGATCTTGATCTGCTTATGGTTGTTTCCTGTTCGCCTGTGAAACCCTTTTATCTCGGCATGCTCTCGAGTATGTGGGATTGTAAACCACTAAGATAGATCTGAGCTTCTTGTCTGATTTTATGACATGCCTCTTCCTAAGCATTCCCTGGCCTAGTTTTATTATTTTACACTGAAGGGGGATGAAAATTGAAGTCGACAATGCCAGGCCACCCTTGGAGAAGCCGGTGATTGTGGCAGTGGAAGGCTAACAGGAGGCCTGGGATCTGCCCTTTGTGGGGATGTGACATGACCTGGTGGGCCATTCTCACCACAGCATCCCCCTTCCCTGCATTACCGCCCTGCCACGGTCACCGACTTCACGGTGAGGCTAAATGACAGAGTGGACAAGAAAGCTTTTGTCAGGGAGCTGGGGCTGGGACAATTTATTCAAGAGCTGACTGAGCTATGGTGTATTAGTGATTTCCCATGAAGGTGCATGAACTCCTCAAGGATAGGGACCATGGCTGCTATTGGCTGAATTGTGTCCCCTCCAAATTCATATATTGAAGCCCTGAACCCCCCGCCCCAATGTGATGGCATTCAGAGCTGGGTCCTTCGGGGGCAATGAGGTTTCGATGAGGTTATGAGACTGGGATCTTCCTTGATGAGATTAGTGTCCTTACAAGAAGAGGAAGAGATACAAGAGGGCACGCTCCCCGCTCCCCCCTCCCCCAGCCATGTGAGGACAGAGGGAGGTGGTGGTCACCTGCAGGCCAGGAAGTGGGCCCTCACCAACAACCGAATCTGCCAACACCTTGATCTTGGACTCCCTGCCTCCAGACTGTGAGAAATAAACGTCTGTTGCTCCAGCCCCCAGTCTGTGGTACTTCGTTGTGGCGGCCCAAGTGCCTGGCACACAGTAGGCTTATTAGTCAATCAGTGAATGCCATCCCCTGACCTGGCCAATGGGGTGTACATCTCAGTAATTCTTCGCTCTAATGGATGTGGCCCTGTCCCCCCCTGTGACCCAAAGCACCCATCTGTGAGGAACAGTCACCTTGGGTTAGGGAACAAATCTTCTCATGAATTTGCATGGGGAAGAAAGCTGCGCTTAGGCCTCATTAACCCCAAGTCCTACCAACACAGCTGTTGGATTGGCTTGATCATTAAACAGAGGCCATGTGTGGATGAGGACACCTTGGATCGTACAGAAAGTCCCACCTGACTGAGATCTTCAGTGGCTGCCTGCACCACCCCTCAGGCGCCTGATTCCACGGGGCTCCAGGGTCTGGCAGGTCCATCCTTGCAGACAGCAGCTTTCCAATGCAGGAGTGGTACTCTGGGATGCCTTCCTGGAGGAGGCGGGCTTGCTTGACTGGGTCTCAGGATTTGCTAAGTGGCAAAGTGGAAGAAGCAAATGTCCCATGTGTAAAGTAGGTTTTGCTGAGATCCAGGGCACTGGGCCTCCCTGAGCAGGGCAGGCTGGGAGAGGAGTTGCAGGAGGGGGCGGGCATTCCGGGAAGGTAGGAGAGCACCTAGGGCCTAGAAAAACCCCGCTGGACTGAGGGCCCGGCTCTCACATGGGCGGCAACCACCAGGCACAGCTCGCCCAGTGGGAGAGTTCACACAGCAGGGTTTGTGATGCAAGCAAGACCTGGCCCAGGAGTGGGCGGCCCAGCTGAGCGCTAACCATTCCTGGCTCTGTGTTCCCTGGGCAAACTGGATCACCTCCCTAAGGTCTTTCTGTGATGCTACAATTAGAGCCCCTGCCAGATGAAAGGAATTCAACAGAATCTGAGAAAGTGGTGACCGACCAACCGGAAGCCAGGTGAAATCCAGCAGCTCCTGGAGGAGGCAGCACTTCCCTGAGTTCAGAGAAGCCGTCGGGCCCCTGGGACGCAGGCAGACACGGTTCCTCCTCCTAGAAAATGCTACGGTCCCCCCTTTTTCCTCCCACCTCCTGGCCATCTAACCCTACAGCTCTCTCTGCAATTCCCTCCCCTCCTATGGGAGGACACCATCCAAGGCCACAGGCCCAGACTGGAGCCCCGGGTCCTCCTGTCAGCGCCAGGGCCCCAGCACCTTACTTTGGAAGGGACCTCTGGGGAGTAGAGGTTGAGGAGGGTATGTGGGAAGATACCAGATTGGTTTGGATAGGGCAAGAGAATACTGCCTTCCACCCCCAGCAAGAACCTGACATGGGGAACTGCTAGGCTCGTGGCCAAAGCTCCCTGTCCTGGTCCTGGGGGCAAATGGATACCCCAGAGCACACACAGACTTGGGAGTTCCAAAAGGGAGGCTTACAAAGGACAACGAGACCACTTGAGACAGTCAGTCCTTCATTTTTCTCTTCGGCAACAGTGGCATTGATAAAGACCCGAGTCAATGACAGCCTTCGGGAGCGCCCCTGGGCTGCTAAGTAGGGGCAGCACATGCGGTTCTTTCCCGCTGCAGGTCCCTCCCCAAGCTACCAAACCGCAGCTGCCGCCACCCCTCTATACCCCGATCTGACCCCACACACATACCAGGCCTAAGGTCTGAATGGCCATTAAGTGCCAGGCACTGCCCTTGGCACTGGGACCATGCTTGCCCCTCCTCAGCCACCACGGCTGGCTTCCATCCTTGCTATCAGTGAGTCTGTTAAAACTCCCCCACTAGACCCGCATGTGACAGGCTGCTGCTACAGCTCATCAGTCCAGCCCTGGGCCATTTCACACCGGGGAGCCTCTCCCAGAGCCCTGACAGCCCCCTCACCGGGGCCTGAGGCCTGCGGTTCCCCCGTCTGAGGCACCGACGGACACATCCAGGCTCTGGAGTGAGATCTGTTCCATCCTACCTCCTCCCTCAGCCCACCCTAGGACTGTCCCCTTTGGGATGCTTCTGGAATTCTGTTCTCTAGCCTTCGGAGCCTTGAGGAAATCACCCTTTCACAGGGTTCTACCCCCAGGGGTTGTAAAAACCACCATTCCTGGCCACGCGCACCCCCCACTAACATCCCCTCCCACCCCCACCACGCGTCTGCTTGGGTCCGGGCGCGCTAAAGAGCCTGGTCCTTGGCGCTGGGGGTGGGCGCCAGGGCCCCGCGGTGCACACGCTGGTGCTTAAGCAGGTGCTGCTTCTGGCTGAAGCCACGGCCACACGCGGAGCACAAGTAGGGCCGCTCGCCCGTGTGGTTGCGCCGGTGCCGCGTCAGGTTGGGCTTCTGGCTGAAGCGGCGGCCGCACTCGGGGCACGGGTAGGGCCGCTCGCCCGTGTGGATGCGCTGGTGGATGGTGAGCGCCGACCACCACGAGAAGCTCTTGCCGCACTCGTTGCAGATGAACTGGCG